AAAAAAAAAACAGAACTGCCACTGACATTGAATAGCACTCTACCAAATCCAAACTGGTAAATACAATAGTTGTTGGCAAAGGATGTTGAACTCAGGTAGAAAGAGAACTGAGGCCTTAAACAAGTGCAATAATCATTCTGAAGATGCCAGGAAACGAAGGATGTGAAAGTGCTCAGGAGGTTCCAGGATACAGATACAATCTTGTGGCACACTCTCAGCAGAGGTCTTCCCTGACCACATCATTAAAATTTTTTACATTTCCCCATTCACCCAAACCTCAGTATTCCCAGTTCCCCCAATCTCTGCCTTTATTATTCTATACAGGACTTAATATTTTGTAACACAAAGAGAAATTCATTACTAACTTTCTGTATGGTCTATCAACTATAAACTCAACCAAAGCAGGGATTTTTCTCTGGTTTTGCTTCCTATTACATCCCCAGAAACAGTAACAGTGCCAGACAAATGGCAAATCCTCAAATATTTGAATAACTGCATGCGTGGAGACAAAATCTCAAGATAGCTTGCAAATTTCCAGATATTACAAGACTCAGTCTTGCGATGCCATTAGTGTTATAACGGATATAAATGCAAATAGACCAAGCACTACCAAGTAAAGCAGGCTTGTGTACAATCTGAATTAGAAAGATGTTTCTGGCAAAAAGGAATATTGTGTTCTTAAGAGTCAGGTAAGTTCTCCTTCTACTAGAATAATTAAATTGCTATAAGGCTGAGTATCTCCATCTTATAATCTCTCTGTCACACTGAAACTGGGAATTATATTATGCAATGTACCATTAGAACCTTTTGAAGAATGCTAATTTCCTTTAAGCAAAGGTAGTCTCCCAGCAATCTTAAAGATATCATTGTTTTTGTTGTTTGCTTGTTTTCATTTCTTAGCTCACAAAATTTGGAAGACCTCTTTCTTCAAAAGAGATCAACATAATGATGATGTACAATAGGGCAGAAATCACAACAAATCTACAATGCATTATTAATGCTGATGTGCTATAAATAGATGTGTTTTGGAAAGAAGATATATCAATCATTAAAACATATGCAAAGAATTGTATAGGAAATCTGAAAAATTGCTTTATAAAAAATACTGTTTTGCAATTTAAAAAGCAACTCTATGTTTTCTTTTTTAAAAAACAAGATATGGACTTCTGCTTCCGTAACAGGAGATATATGTAACTTGGACAAACGTTACTACTGAGGGCAACTAGAAAAACTGCACAAAATATGAGACTTATGCTTAACGGTGTCAGTGAGCTAACAAAATAGCAAAAGATTACTGGGCCAGGATGCAGGGTAGGACGAAGGCCCAGAGAATTGAGCTTAGTATTTGAGGCCACTTTTTCCCTGGGAACATTTGCTGATTCCAGATAAACAGGAGGCTGAACAGCACTGTGACAGCCCTGAGGAAATGGGGAGATACGAACTGGAGTCCACTGCTCTCCAAGTAGCAACAGAATCTTTGGTGAATCTTCCCCATCTTGGGTTGGCCCTCGAAGGACTGTACCTTAGGAGAGAGGTGAACAGGAAGAAAGCAGATCCTTGCAGTAACTATGGGTAGGCTTCTATTTCATTTTTGAAATCAAATTGACCTCAAGAAGCACATATTCTTTTGTCTTAAATTTATAAATGAATTTCAAAATTAAAAATAATCATTTGAAACAAATAGTTTTTATAATTGCAAATTATAAAGAAAATATATTTGTAGCATGTCCCATACTTGACTAAATACAATATGCTTTAAGAATAAAGTGTATGTGTGAGTAAAAAAAAGAGAAATATTTTATGAATCCTAGAAAGAATTCCAGTCTCTACAATGAAAACCTCAAGACTAACACTCCTCAAATATTTCACAAAGTTCATAGTTCATCAAATCACACCATTATATCTATTTAATGTCACTCAAAATTGAACCTTATATCAAAAACTCCAAAGAAAACTCAGGCCACCATTCACCCAAAACATTCAAAGTAAGAAGGGCAGAACTGATTTCAGTGATGTAGGTTTCACTGAAAAGTTTTATCCCTAAGAAGATTCCCTTCACCTTTTAACATATTAACATTTGGGAAAAAAGAAACATGAAAGCAATGCCACTTTTGGATATTAAATTTTCACAATTTACACGATGAGCCCTATAAATTAGCTTAAAATTCAGTAAAAACAGGGGCAAGTTTCAAAATAACCAGTGTTTCCATAGCTATCAAAACGCTGCTTGATAAAAGTGAAACATTATGAACTTGAAACTTTTCAAACTTCATTGCTCTTAAAAACTACGTAATTTATAGTCCTGTTTTGTTATCTTTACTGTATTTAATATCTAAGCATTCCAAGGTAGTGACCCACATCACACATTAACTATTCACTTCCTCATATTCATTTCTATATTTAGTATCTGGTTCCAGTTATAATATTCTGAATAAACTCATGCAAGTACAAGACTGAGAAGAATTTTAAGAAAAGAGACTTTTCACCTCTAACTCCCAGATAAGGTTTTAAATGCTGTAAGTATAGAGAGTCGTAACAGACCTTAGATCTACCGTTTAACCCAACTGCTCCCCACCGACAACAAGAAGGGAAATAATGAAGATTTGGGACAGGGAGGGGGAGAAGACAGGCATATGGTCCATGAGCATATATACAACCAGCTGTTCTCCTCAGTAACACAAAAGGGCAAGATTATTACCTGTATCTCCCTAAACCACACTAGTTATTCTGCCTCCTTTCTGCTCTAAGCATTCTCATTTAAACAAATTATCCAAGTATAAAAATGGACTGGGGGTTGGGAGAAAAGATAGTATGGTTTACAGAACTCTTCAAAGACAGAAAGCTTGGGTTCACATTCCAGCTCTGTGACTTTACCTGAAATGAGACCAAATTATTTAACCTCCATACACTTTTTCCCACTTCTTTTATCAGGCTGCTTCAAAGAGCAAATATGATAAGGAATATAAAAAAGCTTATAATGAAAATGCACCAAATAACCTCAGGCTGTGGTTTGTCACAGGGCTTAAACAATTCTAAACCACTGGATAGTATTCTAGTGTTCTATCTCTAGACTGGAAACTTTTAAATTGAGAACAATTATTAGTTTGTTTAAAAGATTTTATAGTGCAGGTTTTAGCAGAATTTCTTAATAAGTAATAATTTCTTAATTCTTAATAAGAATTTCTTAATTGATAACCACAATTCACAAGTTTCATTTGTATCCCAAGACTATCCAAATTCCCTTCAGACATGCTTTTATCACCAATAATACTTACACAGATCTGCCTTCCACATCTAGTTTGCCTGGATTGACCCCCTTTTTAGCAAGGATTGAGGACACTTTTTCTACATCCCCCCTTTCTGCTGCTTTCATCAATCGGTCATCATATTTATTCCAATCTGTTGCATGCTACAAAAAGGAAAAAAAAAAAAGTAAATATGGCATACTACATTACTTAAGGTTTTCTAAAGAAGGAAAGAAAAGAGAAGGGAAAGTAGTGCTGCATAATACATCACTTATTTTCCAATTGCATTCCAAATTTCCTTCTCCCTTCTGTGCTAACTTCCTTAGGAGAGCAGAGTTATAAAATCTTCCCAAAACACATGATATACAAGAAACATTTAAAATTATACTTTTGAGGGAAAGCATGTTTCTTTTGTTCTCTGCCCAGTTCTCTTTGCCTTTGGGGCAAAAAAAGAAATAAATAACTACTGAACACCTACCCTGTACCAGGCACTAAAGTCCCAATAAACCCTCGTAAACTAAAATTATCACCTCCATTCAGCAGGTAAGAAAAGCCAAGGCCCCAGGAACAGTAAATGTCTTAAGTGTTCAAGCCCAACCATGACTTCAGTAGTTCTAAAATCAGTGTGCTTTTCCCATACCCTTTCGGATTTCAAATCACACTTTCAGATTTGGCTCTGGTTACACATTTCCTAGGACTCTTAGATGCAGTGGAATTCTATATACATTTTAAGAAACTACTCCCCCCAACCCCCATACACATTTATTTAAAAAGTACTGTTGGAAATATATTTATGGAGGCAAATTATATATTCACACACACACATTCTACAGAGAAAGCAATTCATTATGTTTATATATTAGAATCAAATGAAACTTTTACAGAGAAAAAACTAAAAATGACAGACTCTAAAGTATTAACCGTTTAAAATCTGAAAATATTAAGATTACAGGTTACTTTCATTTTCTCCCTTTTTACATTCCACATGTATTATTTTGTAAAAAAAAAATGGATTTTTAACTTTAATAAAAATTCTGTGTATGTGTATTTAGAAGATTAAAGGTGGGGTTTTTACGGAGGGTGTCTCATATAACGTACATTTTAATCGTATCAGGGTTATATTTAACTTTGATCAGAGAAAATACATTCAAGGCATTCTGAAGTCAAAAACTTAGATCCTTTCTCAAGCAGAAATGTTGAAACACAGAACTAAAACACATCTTACTTAAACAGGTGATATTTTAGCCTTTTAAAATATACCAATTTACTAGTAAATTCTGTGCTAAATCCACTATTATTTCTAGAACAACAACAAAAAAAGACATGGCATTTTTCACTTGACAAAATAAATTACGTGGCCACAAATACGCTAACAAATCTCTTGAGAAAAAAAACTCAAATCACCTGAATATCCTCTAAATGTTTGATCAATATGATAATTTTATATTTACTATTCCCTATAAACATAAAGTTAAAAAAAATCACCATCACCAATTTTCTTAAGCAATGTAAAATTAAATACTTGATGTAGAAAATGAATATGAAAACTAAATATGAAAAAAGACAAATACATTAAAATTTTAACTCACTGCTGAAATTTAATATTTTAATGGAACCTGGTTCAAGCACCCATACAGATTTTAGAATTGTCTCTAAATTAGTTAAATTTGGTGATGAACCCACTTCCTCCAGGCTTCAAAGTTTAAAGTGCCAACTACAAGTATAAAATAACTCGACCTATGGGCTCCAAGTCTAAACTACATTTTACGCATCACCTTTCTTAAGCTTTAAAACAGAAACAAAACAGTTTACTGACTCTAATTTGGGGAATGGTAATGGATATAATCTTACAAGACATTGTGTTTTCAAATGCCTAAAAAATTAAATCATGTTTAACACACAAATGCTTGCTCTACATTGATTAGTCTAGCCTTACAATTAAAACAATCTCAAGTTTATTTCCAAGTAATCTTACTGGTGGAGAAAAGAGCTATTTAAATCACCAAAAAGTTGTAAAAATCCAAATGTAAGGCTTTCTTTAAAGAGAATTAAATGTGATTAAAATCTCACATTAGCATATGATTTTCATATCAAGCACCATTTTCAGCTCTGCTTCACTGTCACATAACAGTAACACTACAATTATTAAGATTTTATCATATGCTTTTTAAACCCAGAGAAAGAAAGAAGAACTTTTGTTTTCTATTACTAACCCCAATCTACTAATCAACTAAATCAGAAAGAAAATAATAAAACAAACCAAATTAATAAAACAGTAGTGCACTTTCAAAGAACACAGTTCTGAGAGCTTAACCAATAATCTTTCGTTAAACTAGACTACTGGGATACCTACTCTGCTCTTAGGAGCACAAGAAAACCAACAGTTCATCATAGACAGGATTTAGTTTCTTGTTGCTAACGGCAAACCACTTTGCATTAAGTTACAAATCTCTGTAGCTAACAAAGAAAACCCTCAAACAAACTCCTAACAAGTGACTCAGTCCCTCACATGCTGTGCTACACTTAGCTTGGATCTCTAACGATATTTTCTTCTTCTTCAGGATCCTTCTCCGCCTTCATAACGCTCGAATATTATCTTCCTTGCAACGCAGCACTTGATTAAGAGCAGCCCCAAGTCAGGTACAGTAACTCTGTCTATTTCTTATGCTTTAGAAGCTAGCTATCTTTCAAAGTTGTCCCGTTCTGGGACCCCTCTGGAAAACTGGAACAGCACTCTGCATCCTGCTGCCTCAACACTGCAACACAGACGCTGCAGTGCATGATAAAACTGTCCACATCCCAATCGTCCAGTAAACAGTGTGGAGGCTGTCTCCCATTGGTTGAGTTTTATTTTAGATTCCATAGGACTTGACAGCTGAATGATAGAAAGGAGCAGCTAAGAATATATTGTAAATGCATGCTTTTCCTCTGAGTAATAAATTTCAGGTCTACTGGGGAAAATGACTCAAACATATTGTAAAATATGCTTATTATATCAAAACAAATTGTGTGACATAATGACAACATTTTAAGAGACAAATTTGGTTATTCCACAAAACAAAATGTAAAACCAATTTCAGTCTTAGGATCATCTAACATGAAGTTATAATAGCCTTGACAAACAGAATATAAAATTCTATTTTAAGCAAACGTGTCACACTTTAAGGAAACACACACAGTAACACTTTCAAATTTTCTCCATTTTATTTTGTACCCCTATCAGTCTCATTCTGCATACAACCAGGTTTCAGCTTACAACTGCTGCCAGTCTGTCTCCTAGCATGTTAAATGAGAACAGCCAGAGGCACTGCCAAAACATTAAATAGAATACATCATGATGAATACTTTTCAACAAATTTTAAATTTAACTCATTACTTTTAATTTCCAAGTTTAGCGCCTGCCTAATATGACAAGTAAATATTTTATTGGTGGAAAGTCAAATTACCTGGATTCATTGGATTTAAAAAAAAACTGATTAAACACTAAAAGAGGCAAATACACATAAGACAATGAGCTAGACTATTTAAAAAAAAAATCTGCATTTGGGGACAAAGCAGATAAATTCTCTGTATTCTCTATGATCACATACTTGTATCAACATTTCTTATATTACCAAGACCAGTGCAAGCTCAGGGTTTTTGTTTTTATTTTATTTATTTTTTTACCATGTTCTCATTACCACAATAGCATGAGAATAATTTACACTTCCTCCGAAAAGACACATTTGGGAAAATTGTTTCATGGGAATGCAAAACATTCTAACACAAGTGTTTATAGAAAGGAGGTAGCTGCTAAATTATAGATCATGCTGCCCATTAAAAATTCTGCCATGAACTTCCACAAGAAATGCATTTCCTACAATTTAACTTTAAAACATTAGGCCCACATTCTAATTATAAAATATATAAGGGTCATAGACCATATCTTGTTTCTGAAGCAATGATTTTTCCCCCCAAACCACAAGATACCACAATGGATTCATTTGGCTAAACCCAGAGACTCCGCCCAGTCTATTTCACCCTCCTGCAGAGGAAATCTGTGATGGAACTCAGGCCCTGTCCTTTGAGTAACAAAGCAAGCACATTCTTTCTAGAAATAGGACAGCAAAGGCAAAGGAAGGGGGAAACCAGCAACAAGTAACTAAAGCCATATAATGAGCTGCCCATCCTCAGGAGATAGGATTTGTGTCTCCTAGTGTTATGGATGTCCTGAGCTGCCTGCCACCTCCCCAGCCTCTGGGGCTTAATCTCCTATCCTGCTCTCACAGCATCCTTCATGGCTATTTCCCAAGAGCCCTAAGCAAATTCCCACCCCTTTGCTGTCCCCTTTGCCTATAAAGTTCTTCTTCCCCTACTTTCAGGTTCTTCTCCAATGTCACTTCCTCAGAGGGGGCTTCTCAGACCTTGGCATCTAAACAGCCCCTGTCCCACTCTATCCCACCACTCTTTATCCTTGTGCCCTGTTTTATTTATCTGCAAGGAGCTCATTAGTATCTGCCACTATATCAGATGTTTACCTGTTCATTAGCTTACTGTCTGTCTCCCCACCTCCATTCTAATTTGACTATATCTAAGGTTTCTTCTGTGTCTGGTTTGAAACTATAAAACTAATTTTTCAGTAAGTAATTTGGTAGTCACTAGATTCTTACCCACCTTAAGGACCAGAATCCATATCTGCTTCATGAATCCTTTCCTCTTTGACTAAATTGTTAAATAGGCTAAATCTGTAACACCCATTTACCAGCAACATTGTTTCCCAGTAAACTATCCACATTCAGACAACAAATATCTATTGACCTGAGATGATGGCAGTTAGCCCGTGAGTGTGGCTCAGTTGATTGCAACTGAGCAAATGATTCCACTGCTCGTTGTCAATAAAAGATTCTTCCACACACTTACTCCTGCACATCCCACACCTCAAGCTTTCTTTACCAGTCTACAAATCCCACTGGACTCTTCAAAAAGCACTTTAGTTTTTAAAACACTTGTTCTTCGGAATTTTGCCTGACTCAAAAGTCAGGCAAACCTGGGTTCAGAGTCCAGCTCTGGTACCTACCTGCTGTACACCAGTGGCATAATTTATTTACACTTTCTAGGCATCAGCGCCCTCAACTACAAAGCAAAGATAACAACAGAGAAACTATCTATGTAAAATCAAATAGCTAATAGATGTGAATGATCTTAGTACCAGGCACGGCAGATGGTTATGCCCCAAAATTGTAGGCACTGGCGATAGTCACAAGGGGTCCTGCTCCAGGTCAGAGTTACTGTTAAAAGAAAAACTTCAGCTAAATTAAATTTAAAGGAGTTTAAATGAACAATGAACAATTCAGAAATCAGGCAGTCCCCAGAATCACAGCAGATTTCGTGAGATTCCAGGGATGCCTCGTGGTCAGACAAATTTATAGATTAAAAAGGGAAATGATGTATAGAAATCGGAAGTGAGGTACAGAAACAGCTGCATTGGTTATAGGTTGGCATTTGCCTTATTTGAATACAGTTTGAACACTCAGCAGTGTATGAGTGGTTGAAGTATGTGGCTGCTGGGATTGGCCAAGACTCAGCTATTTTTACGGACACATACTCCTAAATTTGGTTTTCAATCTTGTCTACTTATTAAGTTAGGTTACAGTTCATGCACAAGAACTCAAATATAGAAGTACAGAGTCCTTCTCAGGCCATATTTAGTTTGCTTTAACATTACTAAGCAGAAAAACACTTTACAAAATTAACAAAGAAGTAAAAAAAAAAAAAAAAGTTCTAGCATTTATTCTGCCTTTCCTACATCAACTGTACCTCAGGATAACCAAATAGTTGATATAGGTAAGTTTATCTTTATAAAAGGATTACAGCAAAAAAAAAAAAAAGACTAATAGCATGTCACCATTTTGCAATCCCAACTCAATAAATCTAGGCAATGATCCTCAGTGGCTACTAACATTACAAGATCTTAAGCACCTTCTGATGGTCATATGCCATCCTATCACCATGTAAGAAGTAGTTTAAGAAAACATTTAAAAATAAAAATCCAACCAAACCTCTAGAACTAACAATTTACAAGAAATACAGGGGACAGAAACGATAATAAACTATATCACAAAGATTGCATCACAGGATGTGATCAGAAAGACATATCATAGAGTAAACCATGGTTTGTTTCTTAAACAAAATATGGCAAGATTAAAAAGACAGTATTTAACCTATAGATTAAAAGTGACCAGAAACCTATGACGCAATCATAAGTCATAGAACTTAAGTACCCTGATTAAACAAACTATATCTATAAAAATAAAATGAGAAAATAAGACAACTGATGGGATATTACATGGCATTAAAGAATTACAGTAAACTGAGGTTTCTGATGTGATGATGTTATAATTATTTCTTAAAATCCCCATGTTTTAAAAATATATATTAAAATATTTTTAGATCAAATGAATCAAGTGATAAGACACCTGGTATTTGCTTCAAAAACAATCAAAACAATGAAGTGTCAAACCTAATCCAATAGCACATTTAAAAGATTATACACCATGATCAAGTGTATGATCTTTATTCCTGGAATGCAAGGACATTTCAAGATATGAAACTCAACGTAATATACCACCTTAACAGAATAAAGACCAAAAATCACAATGATCATGTAAGTTGATATAGAAAAAGCATCTGACAAGATTCAACATCCTTTCATGATAAAAATACTCAAAAAACTGGGACTAGAAGGAAACTGCCTCAGTATAATAAAGACCATATAGGAAAAGCCTACTGCTAACATTATACTCGACCGTGGAAAACTGAAAGCTTTTCCTCTAAGATCAGGCAGAAGACAAAGATGCTGTTCTCACCATTTCCATTTAGCATAGTATTGGAAGGCAATTAGGCAGGAAAAACAAACAAAAGACATCCAAACCAGAAAGGAAGTTGAATCATCTCTGTTCTCAAATGACATGATCTTATTTTTAAAAAAAAGATTCTAAAGATTACGCATACACACATACTCACACACGCAAATGAAACAAAAACCTGTTAGAATAAATTCAGCAAAGGTTTGGGAGAGAAAAATCAGCACACAAAAATCTGTTGCATTTCTATACAATAACAATGAACAATCCAAAAACAAAATTAAGAAAATGATTCCATTTACAATATTATCAAAAAGAATTAATTTTTAGGAATAAGCCTAGTCAAATAGGTAAAAAAAAAATGGTACACTGAAAATGACAAAACATTTTTGAAATTAAAGAAGTGACAAATAAATCTAAAGATATCCCAGGCTCACAGATTTGGAAAATTTAATACCGTTAAGATGTCAATACCACCCGAGGCAATCCAGAGATCAGTGCAATCCCTATCAAAATCCCAATGGCATTTTTTGCAGAAATAGAAAAATAAATCTTAAAATGTATATGGAATCTCAAGGGACCTCAAATAGGCAAACAGTCTTGAAAAGGAAGAAGGAAGTTGGAGGCCTTACACTTCCTGATTTCAAAGCATATTACAAAGCTATAGTAATCAAAACAGTGTCACAGTGGCATAAAGACAGACATACAAACCAATGCAATAAAGTCAAGAGCCCACAGATAAACCCTCACACAATAGTGAAATGATCTTAAACAAGGTGCCAAGAGCACTCAATGGAGAAAGAATAATCTCTTCAACAGTGTTGGGAAAACTGGATATCCACGTGCAAAAGAATAAAGTTGAACCTTTATCTTATACCAGATGTGAAAAATGACTCACAATTGATTGAAGACCTAAACATAAGACCCCAAACTATAAAACTC